GCCACTGGCCCCCGCCCCAGTGGGATGGGGGAGAGAATCGGGAAAAAAAAGGAAAATTCATGGGTTGAGACAAAGACAGTTTAATAGGACAGAAAAGGAAGGGAAAATAATAATAATGATAAAAGAATATACAAAATAAGTGATGCACAATGCAATTGCTCACCACCCACTGATCGATGCCCAGCCAGTTCCTGAGCAGCGGTCACCGCCCCCCAGCTAATCCCCCGCAGTTTATATACGGAGCATGACGTCATATGGTATGGCATATCCCTTTGGCCAGTCTGGGTCAGCTGTCCTGACTGTGTCCCCCCCAGCTTCTCGCTGGCAGGGCATGAGAAGCTGAAAAGTCCTTGACTGGTGTAAGCACTACTTAGCAACAACTAAAACATCAGTGTGTTATCAACATTATTCTCATCCTAAATCCAAAACACAGCACTGTGCCAGCTACTGGGAAGAAAATTAACTCTATCCCAGCCGAAACCAGGACACATATCCACCAAATGCCCCAGTGATTGCTGCTGGCCACATGGCTATCAGAACCACTAATCCAGGCTGTTGAGGTTGTGCTGGGGCTGCAACAGCTGATAGCAGGTTGTCCTGGACACAGGTAAAGAGCAAGTTTCGGGACTACAGTGATTTCAGACAACCGGGTTGCAAAACTTCTTCATGGCCTATGCATATCAACAAGAACATGACACAGAATCTCTTTGAATGAGAGCTCAGAGACAGGATACATGGATAGACGGACTCTTGGTCTAAGCCACTACAGGTGTTTTTCATAGAATATAGGTCTGGGATAGATATTGAGAAGTCATCTAATTTCTAGATGCCTACCCCAACAAATTTAACTTTTTCTTAACAACTCCAAAAACATCTCCAGACATTACATGCCAATGCTTAAAAAAAAATATATATATACATATATATAAAATTTCATACTTTTCCTTTTCAGAGATGCCACACATCTGAAGCGCTATTACTATGCAACACCAGTGGAGACAGGCTTGACTATACTGGGTTCAACAGATATGATCTAAGCTAAGGACTCACAGTGCAATACTAAGATAAAAGATAACTAGAAATCACAGAAACCCAGTAAGTTACAAGGTTCTGTTTTGATACAATCATTATGAAAGAGAAGATCTGTGAGGTCAGTAATCTAAGAGCTGCTTTTTGAATGAGGAATGTCTGAGGAGGAATCTGAAAAGCCTTGTGCTTTTATGGGACAGGATTCAAATGGAATAACCTGCAACATCCGTTTTTAGACACAACACAGACATCCTCCAGAGACACATCTTCTATTCCATAACACATCAAAAATCAAAACTCTGACCTGCAAAATAAGTGTTTTGCTTCTTCATATCACCCAGCACAACCATTTCAGAATTCATCTAGTCCAGATCAAAAACTTTACATGACACATTAGTAAATACAGGTTTTCAACCAAGGAATGCCATGTTTGTTAAGTATCTTCTTCAGAACCAGTATACGTTTTGATAATTAACGTTCAACTTGGGAGGAGGGGAATAGAAGGCAGGTCTTCAACTGATTTTTAATAATCTTAGCTCTGGTGCCTTCATTTAATCCTTTATGATTTATAAGGATGAAGTATAACAAAGGTGGCGAGAAAGAATGGACAACCTTCCATATTTTTCAAGGAAAGACAATGGTTGGCATAAAAGTTATTTTCAGAGATAAGTGTATATACCTTCCTTTATCCCCTCCAAATTTTATACAACCCTCCAAAAATACTGTTCTTTTATATTTGTAAGCAAATCTTTAGATTACTAATTGTACATTGGTTATGTACTTCAGCATACATTTTCTCACCTCTTCAGCTTCATGTGCTATTAACTGTTCCATTAGCATTTTTCGTCGTCTCTTTTCTCGTTGTTGTCTAGCCAATGTATCTTCTTCTAAACGTTTTTGAATTTTCCTTATATATTCATCATCTGAATAAATATTTAACAGCTCAGTTGCTGTCTGTGCTGTAGTTTCTAGAGTTGTTTCTAGAGTTGTTTCTTGCAACTTCTGTGTTTGCAATGATTCTTGTATATCGCTGATTGAAAAGATGAAAAAGAAAGATTGCAGACTTTATAGGAATTATGGTTCTTAGAGGTGTTTTCATACAGATCCCTATATAGTTATGTGCAAGTCTGACAAATGCACAACAGCACTCTTTGTGGGCACTGTGGCTACTTCTTGATGCTCTTGTGCCCCACAATGACCACTAAGTCCAGAGGACGGCTCCAGCACTGACTTGAGCCAACTGTCAATTAGTTCATTTGCTAATATGAAGCCAAATTCTGCAGAAACAGGAAATGAGGATGGCTCACAGAATATCAAAGAAAGATGGGTTACTCTTCAATATATCCATACACTCTGAGTGCAGTTTTGCAGAGTTATTAATCACAGGTTGCTTACACACAGAAGGATCCACAGCAGTATGCACAAGTGCCACCTCTTCTGAGTATGGTATATATATCACTAAAGTTGACAGAATGACTATTACTTAAAATTATTCACAAATAAATCAACATACAGTTAAGTCTAAGCAGAAAGGTTACTTCTCTCTATTTTCTTTGAAATGTGTTACCATGTACATACATCCACAACCATTCTCGTCTCTCTGCAAGTCTAACTGACCTTACAGACTCAATGACTGAAATGAACAGAGAAGAGATGCACTTTGTGTCCTTTGTTGCTGCCTATATGGCAAAAAGGAGAGAAGGAAGCTTGAGCCATCCCTACTACAACTAAAGGTAAGGTAAAAACACTGTAACAGTGCTGGAGCTGGAATATTTGCAATGCTAGTGGGACAATCACTCAAAGGACAATCACAGTTTAAACTAAACAAGCCATTACATTTTCCTCAAGTAGCTGTCTACATGGATAGTAGGCACCTGAGGTAGGGTCCTATCTAATCTTAACAATCTAATATCCAAATATTACCTGTCAGTGACTTGCCTATGTACTGCAGAGGCATTTCCTGCCACAGACTTCTCAAACTTTTTAATCTCCTTGTATGTGTCCTGAAGAAATAACACAAAATTTAATGTTTCTTTTCTCTTCACAAAGCATTATAAGGAAGGTTCAACAGACTAAGTATTAGGGAATTATTTTTATGTCATGTTGGTACAACAGAAATGTTTACACCGAAAATATTTTAAGCATCAGCTAGATCAAGAAAAAAGGCAAGACTATTTCCTTCTACCTTTTATTTCCTTTCCCCCTCCCTTTTTCCTAGCTATACATATGTCCACCAGCCAGAAAATCCTAAGATTTTGCAGCTGTTCATTCTGCAGGATAATTTTCATTTTACATAGGACTCTAGCAGTTTATATAATTCCCACCATTCAGGGATTTGAAACAAGATATTCTGGGCTATGATCTGCTTTGGATTTAGTAGCTTGAATTTATCACTGATAGTTACTCAAGCAACTATGTTCCTACACTCTACATTTAAATGCATCTGTTGCGGTTGCGCAGTTGTGAAAACTGGTAAAATTTGCACTCCTGATGACAGTACAACCCATGAACTGTAAGATTACAATCCAAGTACACTTCAGCACTAGATAATACAGATTATTTTTTTTATTGCTGCATTGCCATCATCTCTTGATTTGATCTAAGACTATTGTCAATTTCAGCTGTTATTAACATTTTTGATAGAGCAGCTTTATAGTGTTCTACAGAAGAGTTCATACATTATGGTACAAAACTTCATCATGCACAAATGAGAAGGAAACATCAATGCTTTTATTTCACATATTCTACTCAGTAGACTAGAAGCTAAAATACTGTCAGCAATTAAATTAGTACCTACCTATGGTATTTATTCAATAAGAACTTTCTCTTACATCAAAACAAATTTTTACCAAGTAACAAATGCAGAATCATAATCATATTAATATTTAGCCCAATTTTCACTGGTTGAGTCTACTATATCATTTTAACAGTTATATCAGCAGCTTTTGGATGGTGCAAGTACAGTATTTGTAAGTGCACATGCTCCCAGAAATCACATTTTGCAAGTTCATATAATTAACATTAAAAGAACGTAGATGATAGTTACCTCTGCTTCTCTTTTCTTCTTTAAGAATTTTTTGGCTTCAGTAGCTTTTATGGTGTGGCTTGGTGGTGGCTTTGGAATCTGTATAATGGCTGCTTGAATCCTGGCCATTATTTCATTTTGTCTCCTTCTTCCTATGCGATGCTGAATATTCAACATCTTATGTTCAGATACTTGAGTTGAAACAAAATACACCATATGGCCCTAATACACTACCTATATATCTATGAAGTAAATGTAATTAAGCCATAAGGAAAAAAATCTTCCACGAAGAAAGTAGAAATGCTTATCAGGCTGCAGGCTTGAGCAACTGACTTTTCTTTCTTTCCTTTGTTTTTATTTTTTTTAAAGTGGATCACTACAGTGCCATGAAAGCAAAAAATTCTTTATCTTTTGTCCACAGTTAAATCTTGTTTTAAGAATATTCTCAGCCACTGTACTCATAAATCACCATTTTTAAATCAAGAGGTAGATGTTGTAAAATGCATTTGAAATTAGAGTATCATTCTACATTCTGAAAAATCTGACAGTTTAGCAATATGCTAGTATATATTCTCAATATTTGAGGATTAAGATACATTTTTTAAGTACCATTATCAGAAAATGGTACATCTATATATGCTCTGTCTGCATTAACAAATAGAGCGGCGCAATAGAAGCACATCTGTAAAGAAAAAGTTTGTGCTCAGTGGCTAATAGGCATTTAAGGGCTTGTATTAAATTCTAGCTCTAGTATGGTACCAGTTTCAGGTCAGAATTCAGCATAGAAACTGAGAATACCAGTTTCCTGGTACAGAAACTGAGAATACCATTAGCTAATATTACTGCTGAACAATGAGTCTGGGATGATCAAGAAGTAACAAACATTTAAATTACACTAGTTAAAAGTGCACTACAGATACATGCAGTTAAAGGTGGAAATGAGTGGAAAAAAAGTTTTTTTTACAAAGAGTCAAAGATAGTTAACAAATAAATATATAATACATCAAATAAGATATTAATAAATTTTATTTTAAAATTTTATTTTGACTATTTTGGATATTGCTTGTATTTTCTTTTCTAGATATATGAAGGGACTTCTTTTTTCATTGTTGTTCATGCAATGGCAATAGAACACCTAAATAACCACAGCAAGACTCTCTCCCTTTAATTAGCCATATAAAATTCATCTCAAATTAGTCAACCTCATTTTCATTGTGGTTCAACACCCCTTGGATAGCTGGCCAGTTCCTCTATATAAACTACAGACTGTACTTCGGGCGAGTGTTCCCATATCTTAAGAAATGAGTTCCACTTTTTCACTTTATCAGAACAGCTACACAGAGCTACAAGATGTTCTGAGGCCATACCCCCTATAGGTCCCCTTCTGTGTGTCTTTTTCCTGCTTTTGAACAATGTTTCACCTTTTCTTCACAAATGAACACTGTCACAAACCTCCTCTACAAGGACACCTTAAAGACATACAGTTGTGAAATTTACATTTTGTCTTCAAATCTATAAATATTTTCCATGCATGACAATATACAAATACTCTGAATTTAACATTAAGTGATTTTTAAATATTAATGTTTTTAAGGGTCTTGTAGCATTATATTGGCTTTATATCTACATATTAATGATTGCCATGCGTACTCCTTTTCTTCGTTTTTGTATAAACATGACTGCGTAGCACAGAATTAACAAGCATTCACACTGGCTTTAACTAACTCATTATGTACATGACCTTAAGAATATACTTCTTCAGAAGTCTATAAAAAGTAAGTAGTCACCTTTTCAATGTCTTGGGCTCTTTGTTCCTCTTGGATCTTCTGAACTTTCTGTTGTTCTGCAATGTGTATATGAGCTATTTTATCTTCTATCGCCTTAGATTTTATTTCAAAATGCTCTGAAACCTGCTGTAGTTGCAAATCAGCCTGACGTGGTGTTAAAGTTTTCAAACGCTAAAATTAAACATCAAGCAATGAAGAGTCAGCAACAGAAGAAACATATTTAAATATGATAATTTTGCAGTAGTAATTTCAAACTGTGTTTTCCTGTGTTAATGTACACAGAACAACATCTAAACATGGTCAAATACTTTTCAGAAAAACAGGACTAGCTCCATTGAAAAGAACATGCAGATTTTAACTTGAACAATGCCAAACTTTGTTTAGCTTGGAGAAAAGGAGGCTGAGGGCTGACCTCATTGTTCTCTACAGCTTCCTGAGGAGAACTGGAGAGGGAGGTGCTGAGCTCTTCTCCCTGGTATCCAGTGACAGGATGCATGAGAATGGCTCAAAGCTGCGCCAGAGGAGGTTTAGACTGGACATCCAGAAGCATTTCTTTACTGAGAGGGTGGTCAAACACTGGAACAGGCTTCCTAGAGAGGTGGTCGATGCCCCAAGCCTGTCAGTGCTTAAGAGGTGTCTGGACAATGCCCTTAATAACATGCTTTAACTTTTGGTCAGCCCTGAATTGGTCAGGCAGTTGGACTGGATGATTGTTGTAGGTCCCTTCCAACTGGAACTATTCTATTCTATTCATAGAATCATTAAGGTTGGAAAAGACCTCTAATTGAGTCCAACCCAACCGTCGACCCAACACCACCATACCCACTAAACCATATCCCTAAGCGCCTCATCTACCCGTCTTTTAAATACTTCCAGGGATGGTGACTCAAACACT